CCCCTCCGCCCCCCCTTTTCGCCGTTCGTGGTTTTTCGGGACGTCAAAAAAAATTCTCTGACAGTTCACAGAGGCGTCCATCATCGAGTCCAACACGACGACCGTCGTGTTCAACACGATGACGGTCGAGTGCGACCATGTCCATGACGTGTTGAACACGACCCCACCGCCGTGTTCAACACGATGACGGTCGCTGTCATCGTGTTGAACACGACCGAGGTGGTTCGCCACGACCCCACGGTCGTGTTCAATATGGTGACGGTCGTGTTCAACACGATGACAGTCGTTGTCGTAGTGTTGAACTCGACGGCGGTGGCTCGCCGCCGTGCCGGTGATCGTGTTCAACACGACGACGGTCGAGCGCAGACATGTTCACCTAGAAAGCACTGTCGTGTTCAACACGACGACGGTCGCTCATTGTCGTCTTCAACACGACCGCGGTGGCTGTCGTGCAAAGACGGGTATCGAGCGAGACACAACGACGGTCGAGCACGGACATGTTGGACACGACCACGCCATCGTGTTGAACGCGATGACGGTGGCAGTCACGGCGTGCGCTTGTCATGTTGTGCAATGCGATGATGCGTCGTCATGTTCACTGACCACGGCGACAGATCATCGCGTTTAACACGACAGCCGGCGGCTGTTCAACACGACATCGGTCGTCGTATTCAACAACCCCGGTCGACGTGTTCGAGCCGGTCGCCGTGTCTCTTGTGCATCGCTTCTGTTCCAGACTGTGTTTTTTTCCCGCCTTCACGGGGCTGATCTTTTACATCAGCTGTGTGTGGCTAGCAGTGGCCGCGCTGTACCACGTGTGTTGCACTTTATATATACCGCATGTGATCCATCTAGTTGCGGATTTGTTACTCATATACATGTCTTGTGCCAGTGGTCCACTGTTTTGTCATCGAGGAAACATTTTAAATGGTTTGTGGTGTGGGTATGCATCACGGCAAGCTGCCAGCACAACTTTAGAAATCATGGACTGTGTGGCATCTAATGTACTGCCTAATGATGAATTTCCTCCGCCGGACCTGCCAATGTTTTCGCAAGATGTTCAAAAAACTCTAGAATCTCCTGATCATAAAAGGTCCCGGATGGCTGCATGTGAAGAAACCACATGCGAAAGTGTATCTCCAGTCTTGGGCGAACCAGTGAAAACCTCTGATGCAGAAGGTTCGGAAGGTCAGGGTAGGGCCTGCTCCGGTGACAGAAACACATCTGATGTAGATCGTATCATGTGGGTGCCGAGAAGTTCGCTACGAGATTTCAAGTGCACAGGCCTTCTGTTTGGCGAGAGTGATGAAAATGGTTCGGAATCAGGTGCTTCGGTGTCATCTGACGCCGACAGTTCTCCAGACAAAATTGATCATCCACAAACTTGCGATAGTGATGCCACTGACCTCTACTGTCGCAACGATATGGAGAATTTTGACGTCATCTCTGATTTTGATGACATTTTCCCAAAACGTTTGTCGTCTAAGAAGCGCCGTTATACTTTCCGTGTCCGAATGCCGCGGTAAAAGAAGATTCTGCAAACAGTTCACAGAAAGCTCACCAAAAAAGCGCGTGGACAAGTTTGTTGTAAACAAAATTGTTGCGCTCGCATGACCATGAAAGACATCAAAGTTGTCCGGAGTGCATATTACTCTAAGGATCACAAAAGTAGAGATGCATGGTGAGTTGAAACGTTAAAGAGGTTCACCTTCGTGGAAGATGAGAAAGACATTGTACAACCTATTGTGGAAAAAAGAAAGGTGTGCATTAGTGCATGGTGTTTCACACTGGGTGTGTGCAGGAATAAATTTTTGAAAAAGAGGATGACTTTGTCAAAAGGTTACATTATGCCGGAGCATGGCAGCACTGGACTCAGACGCACATCTGCAACATATGCGACGATATACGGGAAACTAAGCTCCTTTGTGCGCGACAATGAAGATTCCATGCCCAATGACATGAGGATCAAAGATAGGGAATCAAGAGTGGTTTTGAGATTGCCTGCTTGCTATAACAAGGTTGACATTTATAAGTTGTCAAGGTCACAATTTGACAACCTGAGTGTCCCTTCTGTTTCTCTCCAAGTTTTCTATAACATGTGGGGAACACACTTCTAGCATGTGAAATTCCATGAAGTTGATCAAAACTTTGCAAAATGCGAGAAGTGTGTTGAGTTTAAAGAATCTATCAGTTCTGCGAAGTTCGTACGTGTGCGTGAGTATTTTGTTTCGGAACGCGAAAAACACTTGGACTTGCAGCTCCAACACCGTGCTTCTTATGAGGTGTGGAAGGATGAGTCGAAGAGACCATGTTCCAACAGTTTATGCATCATTATTGACGGTATGGACCAAAGCAAGACGAGTATTCCACACTTTGGCGGAGAAAACAAGTCGAAGGCATTCGCGAATATTCCGATGATGAAAACAAATTTAACAACTATTATCGCACACGACCGTTCACCGTCGGTCCATGTTCACACATGGTACCCTTGCTATCCACATGATTCCAATAATGTGGTGTCATCCATTATGAAAGTTCTGCGTGACATACAGGCGACAAACGACTTACCCCCTAAATTGAGGATACAAGCTGACAAATGCTGGAGAGAAAACAAAAACAAATACGTTTTGTCTCTGGCCGCAACTTTGGTGAAATTTGGCTTCTTCAAAGAAGTCGAGTTCGGTTTTATGTTGGTAGGACATACACATACGGCCGTTGATGCCACTTTCAGTCATTTCTCTCGCAAACTGAAAATGCACGATGCTTATACCATGCTCGACCTCTTCAAACTCGTTGTCAGTTCCCAAAAAGAGCGTCCTTTATGCACATTCATGGACGAAATTGCTGACTGGCGGGGAGTTGTTAAGCCTTTCCTGGTCAACAGACTGACCAGCCATACTAAGCCACATTTGATGTCGTTCTTTTCGTTTATATTCTAATCATTTCGACACTTCTCTGCTCAAGGTTTACATTGTACCGAAATATTAAAATCCTCTTATTTTGTTTTAAAATTTGCCTTTTTTTCGGTTACTTTGTTAATCCTCATTTACAAAAACGTCGTTGCATCAAAGAGAAATGACCTTTTAAATCCTCTTATTTTGTTCTACAAGTTACCTTTTTTTCGGTTACTTTGTTAATTTCATTATGTTCACTTTTTACAAAACAGTTTATTTTTAACGAAAACGTCGTTCTTACTTATTTCATCCATTCTTCGGCCCTTACCCGGGCAACTCCCTGGTCCTTAACTCGATATCCTTTCCCATTTTTATCCCCTCCCTCTTTTCTTGTCCCTTTTATCATCTTGCCCCTACTCTCGTCGGCTCATACAACCAGTACAGGTCATCTACGTAAGTCATTCCCCGGCTTACCTCTCGTCGAACAATGCCCCATAGAACCTCGTCGCTAAAAACCGAAGCCCTTGGTCTGGTGGTAAATACGGCGCGCAGGATTCGTAATACTTCATACCTCTGCTCACCGCTGAGCGACCCCATTTTTAGGACGGCCCGATAATACTCTCGGTGGACCACCGCGTCTTCGAACGTCAGGTTGGCGAGGTCGGGTACAACCCACCTCACAAGCTCCAGCCCGCTTAGCCTTTCTAGTAAAAAGGGCGGCTATCTTATCCAAATGTTCTCACTAGGCAAATGGAAACTCCCGGCTATGGCTACTGTAAGGTTCGTCGTCACGTCATTAACTTTCGGGTCCGCGAATTCGAACCCTGCCTGCCACACTAGCTGCCATGCCCCCTCGAACATACTTAACGGATCTTCCCCTGACGCCAACAAGACTCCGAACGCCCGCCACCCATCCTCGGACATATACAGCCATCCTTCCGCACGCACATGTCCCCGTGGGTCCGGGTTCCACTCGCCATTTTCACCCGCGCGCCATTCAACCCTTGTCACCAGGTAAACCGTGTCTTCCATGAGCTCGACCCCGACCCAGTCCACCACAGGGCGCCGGCCCTCGCTCGTGGCGGGCAGGCTGATTTCTATCCCACCAGTCACATCCCTTGGCGGCTCAATGCCCACCGGGCGGTCCTCAAGGAACATCCTTCTTTGTGCCATCGCGCGCCTGTCTTCGGTCTTTTACTTACGCAATCCGTAATGATCCCTACAGTGGCCAGACATCCCATCCCTTGCTCAACATTTTTACGCCTGGCTGACCCGTATAGTACATATACCCTCTCACCTATGCTTCCCCGTAATTTCTCCCTCCCCCTCTTTTTTTCTCCCCTTATCCCCCTAACTTATCCCATTAGCTCGAGCTTTTCCCGTTCTTAATCGAGCCACAGTACTTCGAACAATTTAAACACATCATCATCCACGTAACAAGGTGTCGCTGCTACCTCCCGGCGGATTATGGCATCCCTGATTTCCGGGGCTACCTCTAACCGATCGTTCCTTTCTATGTCCAAAATAATGAGGACCTCCCATGCTCTGTCGCCATGGAAGGGCCCAAATTTCAGCGATGTTTTATAAATTTTTCCGTCAGCCATGCGCAATTCACGTGTATCCGTCTCATAGTGCTGGCCACCTCCGTGACGTGGTCAAAACCCCCAAACCAGTCAACTATGAACTCCGGTACCCAAGCCTTGATTTGTAGGCAGGGGGGTCTAAACTCCTTCCATCCCCCCATCGCGACCTTACTACTGACCACATCCCATCCCTTGTTGGCAAACTTCTCCCCCGCCTGTCGAGCCCTTGCCTCGACGTCCCCCAGAAGCCACATCAGGCTCTGCCCTACCGCAAGTGTGGTGCAAAACAAGTGTCATCCCTGTTCCGAGAGGATGACTGTCCCGACCGACACCTTCCTTCCACGATCTCCTCTCATCCTTCCTCTTCTCTTAGCGGGTTCCGGACACGTTTTATCCATAGGTATGACAGTTCTGGTACGATTTCGAGTCCTACCCAGTGACACGTGATCCCTCTCCATTCATTATCTGATGGTATAGACATTTCCACTCCCCCTTCGATTCGTCTCGGTTCCCACCCTTTCAATGTGCAGTCCCTTACCTGGAGCTCCCGGGCCATCGTTTCCTACCTGCACATAGCCGACCACCCATTTCCCCGGGTTAGCCCCCCTTTTCAAAAGTCCCAATACTCTATCTCGTTATCGTTCCCGTCATCATTGAAATCATCCTCCTCGTCAAAGAACAAGTCCTTCAGTCCTTCGAGGAAGGTCTCCCCCACCGCCACATTTCGATAGACTATCCGCTCATGCACTGGGCTAGGGACAAAGGCATCCTCCGTGCTGAGGAGGTTCAATATCTCAGTCAATTCCTCTGCCCAGTTACCTTCAAACGGCCCCATTTCTGCCGACAATTTAAAGAAGTCATGTCGAGCGCACTGGTACAGCCTCAAGTGTGCCATCGACCGACATATTTGTTCCAATCTCTCCCTGGTCCCGAAGACCGCGTCCACCAAAAATGGAGGTAGCACGCAACTCATCGTCCTAAGAGCCTGTCTCATGTTTCCCCTATCCTCGAGCTCCACTCACACCTCTACTTTGTCCATTTCCATTTCCGCTCGTTGACATGCCGCCCATACCACTTCTCGTTCCGCTTATCTAAACAACTGGTTCGGTGCCATTCCCAGTACTAATCCTATTACCATTGCATTTTTTATCTCCTGGGATAGGTAGACCCACCCGCGGGCTTCCACCGTCCCCCGGAATTCTAAGTTCATTAAGCTCGGCGACAGTCTCGTCAGGCTGACCTTAGTCCAGATTGTCTCTGTCCAGAGGAACGCGTCCTTTTCGTCTAGCATCACAGTTTGGTAGGCTGGCTCTAGGTCTGTCCACGTTCCTTCTTCCGGGAGGACGACAGATACCCCCTCCTTTACGTCTATTGGCATTTCCGGACCACTAGAATATGTAGGAGACGAGAACTACCGCTACATTCCGTTTTTCCGGCCCCGGTCCTGTTTTTATAAGAGAGCACCACACGGCCCCCTCTTGGTCAGACTGTCTCCCTGTCTAGATGAGAATTGTTTTTCAGAACCCTCATCCGGGTCTCCCTAACCTTCCCTACCCATTTCCCAGAGGTTGCTACCCCATCGTACCCCCAATTGACCACCACCAACCGACATTCCTTTCTCTTGGTACAGGAAAGGAGGAGTGAGAAGGAAGGAGGAGCAAAGGAGACAGGAGAAGGAAAAAAAATCCAGGAAGGAGACAAGGCTCCAAGGATGGTAAGAATAAAGGAAAAGGAGACGGCTGGAGAAGGAAGGGAAAAGGAAGGAGGAGAAGGTGAAGGGGAAGTAAGGCTAAAAGGGAGCAAGAGAGTGGAAGCTGATACAGGAAAGAGGGGAGCGGAGTGTGGAGAACCATCTCAATTGAGGGAAGAGGTGGAGGAAGGGCAGGTAAGTATGGTGGAAAAGGCTCAAAAGGACAGGAAGAGGAAATGGTGGAGGAATTATATGATCATGATGCTGCAGGATGATGACCTGCCAGTGAACTCCACATGGGATGTGAGATTTGAGAGGATGCTCCTCTCAAAGCCGGTGATGAGTTCAAAACACTCAGATAACTTGCAAAAGATGATGGAGCTGCACGAGATGTTGGATGAAAAGTGCACCGGGCTCTTCGAAGATTACGCAGAGGTTGCCAGGAAGATGGGGGAGATGGAAAGGGAAGATGGAATGAAAGAGGTTGGGAAAGACCTAGACACAATAGGGAAAGGACTCCCGGCAGACCTCAAGGGCAGCACTGAACTCTTCACTCAAGGGTTATTGGATTACATCCCTGGGCACTTGAAGGAGATGAGCAGGCTAAGAAAGAAGGAAGAAGAGAGGGATACCCAGGTGGCAAATTTGATAGGAGACATGGAAGGGATGAGGAAGGAAGTGGAGGAGTTGAAGAAGGGAAAAGAGGAGTTGCAGAAACAAGTGAGCACCTTGAGGGCCGCCCTGACTATGAAAAGCAGAGAATTGGAGGATGAAGCGACTGTAAGAGGAAGGGTAGAAAAAAAGGTGGAAGGTCTGTGCTCTGAGGTCAGTGTGCAAGGATTGGACCTGGACACTGAAATCTCAGAAAGAAAGAAGTTGGGACAGGAGTGAGATAAAATATGGGGTGAGATATTGAAAGGAATGGAAGGACTCAAATTGAGCCATCAGGGGAAAGAAAGGGAAACCGCAAAGATGGTGGAGTGCAAAGAGGGTGAAGAAGAAGAGCTACAGACTGAGGAAAGAAGAGAGGAGCCTCCTGCACCAGAAAGGGAGGAAAGTGAGAGTGTGGTCATTCCCCTGTCAAGACAGGGCAAGAGGCAAAGGGAATCTGAATTGGGCTCACCAGAAGGAATTGAGGGTAGGGCTGAGACTTCAACCCAGCCAGACATAAAGAAGATAAAGCCCAATTGGTTGGAAAAATGTGCTTCTTCTGCACTCAGGAAGGGCATCTCAGGGATGATTGTTCCATTCCGGCAGTATATATCAAGGAAGGAAAGACCAAATATGATAATCATAAGAGATTGGTGGCCTGCACGGGGCAGATCATTCTCAGGATACTCAAGGGAGGCAAGGTAGCACTCCACAGGATACTGGGACTGCCGATTGATTTATAGATAGGAGTAAGTAGATGTTTCTGAGTAAATCGTAACTCGTATTGGCGTGTAAAACAGTTATGAGTGGGAGAAAAAGTAATTTAGAGCATGTGGTATGTGCTTTCTTCTTCAGTTAAGTACGAGAAAGGTGAGAGACATGTTGTGTTTCTTTCTTTAGAAAAATAAACAGACTTAGCATAGAGAGTAGTATACAAAAAGACATGTGAGGTATTTGAGGATTAGTAGAGGTGAGTGTCAATTTGACTCTGTAACATATTTTGTATTTATATGTATCCTTCAGAGGGATGAGTTGGTGGACACGACGCACTTGTCACATTGTGTGTGAGCCTTTGGTTTGAGTCCCCTTGTGACCTAATATCTCCCTTCGTCTATCACTACTGGACTCTGTTGAGATTTAAAAAGGTGATAGAGGAAGGGGCGGATCTGTATTTCATGTGAAAGTTTGATGAGTGCTTGTGGAACTTCAGAGACTCGATTGTTTGTACATTTCATATTTTGAAACCTATGCTACGACATGGATAAACTCCTTTGAGTCCTATCAATTCCTTTGCACAATTCTTTTGCAATCATTATAAAAGTGATGTTTTCTTCTTGGATTCGGACAAACAAAGAGTCAACAGATAATTATCATAAAAATAATGGTTTTTCTTTATATAAATAATATAAAATGACCCCGAGGTGCGTGCCTCACCGAGCTATGATCAAAGACTTTGAGGGCACAACCCTGAGTGGAAGCCTGGCGATTGCTCAAATTATGGAAACTTTCATTGATTTATTTAAAAAGCATCGTTCACCCACCTCAAGGGTTAACCTGAGAGCATAAATTACCAAGCCTATGGTGGAAAATTGACATCGTTGGGACGTAACCCCCAGTGTGGGCTGCTGACCTAGCATAACCGGGTAGCGGACCCTTCGACTATGACCTAGAAGAGGGACTAGATGGAATGGTCACCCCAGTGAAGGAACGTATTCAGGTGGGTGTCGAAGGGGTCGAGATTAGTCTTGAAATTTATATTTTTGAAAAGATAGAATGGATAACCCATCGTTGCGCAACCGACGAGGGTAACCACCGATAAGCAACAACGTGGTGTGCCGCAGCTCCGGTCTTATAAAGAGGACTGTGGTGGGTCATGATGGACATTGCTGCCTCCTGTAATAGGCTTCGGGCATGACAACAGACAACTTTGGACAATTAATATCAAGAGTTGAAATGACCAAGATCTCGGTTAGGACCCGCGTTTGACGGGATGAGTTCGTACGCGAACACCAACCCCGAAAACAACCAACGAATACCTGGATCGAAAGTCTAAGGGAGTGGGGAAAAGAAAGGCGCGTTGTTATACTTAACTATTTCATATACTGTAGTACAGATCAAGTATCCCCACTTCGAGTCATTCAATTATTTTATAATGTGGGAGACCCGGGTTAAGATCCTGGCAGTAGTAATGAAAAGTGAGGTGACAACGTCAATCCTAAACCACATCTCATCCCAGGATTTGAATTTGACGAATTGCTTGTCGAGATCCTTTTGTTGTTTGCATATAGTTCTCCAAGCAACGGGGACGTCGCTTAATGAGGTCTGGGATACTGTCGGACCAAATACCCTTACAATGGTATTTGGGCATGCTTTTGCAATTGACACAATGACGGCATCGGCTACATGACGGAGCCAGTTGGCATGATTCTTGAAATGATTTCCTCAGCCAATAAGGCCAGGATATACGCGCACGTCATTATGACACGCACTATAATGGTTACGCTTGGTAGTAATGCCCGTCGGCAGAAGAAGCCGAGGGGGTACGATTAGGTTAGAAACTGTGTCAGGTACACCTACGACACGTACTGACAAAAGTTAGAACTTGAAATTTTTGAATGCTCGCAGAGCATGCAAGGCCGACGGGGGTCTGAGTTTCCCCTACGATAGGCTGCAGGCCTTAAGTGATGATAAAACCAGGCCCTGTATTTTGCTTAGGGCAAATTCGCTCCTAGTAAAACCGAGCTAGGAGCTAGCCCAGTAGATACAGGCGCAGATTGCTAAGCGAAGGATCCAGGGATCAAGTCCGACCTGCTTTCGGGCTAGCTCCTTTTGCGGGCAGCGAGGGGCAGGGCCTGCCTTTTTTTTCGCCCGCCCACAGATGTGTGGGATTCGAACCCATGACCTCATAATCGAGGTAAGATACGGTTAGACCCCGCCGTGACAGTTGGCACGACGGGGTATTTAGTAGTTGGTTGCTATCGAACGAACCCGCCTCTGAATCAGGGCAGGTTCAACATAGGAAGGTGGAAAACGAATCAGTCCAAGGTTGGGTTACCGGCCGCTCCGATCGCAGTGCCCCAAAGGCAAGCAAGTGCAGCGTGGAGTCGCGAAGAACCGGCTCGAGGGAGAGAGGGCTAAGAAGCGTGAGGAAGAGAAGAAGAAACGCGCGGAGGCGAGGAGGAGATATCGCGAAATAAGCCAGCGAGCGGGAGATTCACGAGGAGAGAGAAGAGAAGAAGAAGGAGAGGAAGGAGAAGGAGGAGAAAAAGGGAAGAGGAAGGAAACAGAAGAAGGAGACTTATCCGATGACCGGCCAGTTCATCAAAAGAGGGGTGTGTGCACGACGTAGGCTCGGGGCAACTTGCGACGCTGCGGGCCGGTGCGTGATCACAGGCGACGACCAGGCAGTAAGCGCACGGTAAAACGCTCAGACGAGAGGGTAGGCAAGATAGCAAGAGTGCGCAGGCGGATGCGATCACGAACAGGAGAGGAGAACGAATATCAAGCTAAAGATTGAGTGAAGAGGGAGAGAAGAAGGTGAAAGGAGAAAAAAAGAGGAGAAGAGGGGGAAAGGTCGCATGCTATAGTGAAGGGGAGAGGAGAGGGAATCGGAAGGAGAAGGAAATCAAAGAGATACTTACCTTACCAAGCAACTGACTCGGACGACGGCGAGGAGAGAGAAAATAGCAGGTGAGTCTACCGCCATACGACTTACCTCGGGACATATAGAGAGGGTAAAAATGAAATAAATAAAATAAATAAATAAAATAAATAAATAAATAAACAGAATAAGTGTGTGTGTATGTGAGAAAGTGAGAAAGAGTTCTTCTTCTTCCTCCTCTCAGTCCACCATCTTCTCCTCCCCCTCTCGACATCCGACTCCACCGCATCTGCAGACTACGAAAGGAGAGAGACAGAGCTTGGTGACATCGGATCCAGGCTCGACTTTGGGACTTCAGACATGGCAGCGAAGGATTATTTAGGATTGGTGACAAAGACTTGGTGTTGACGAAATTCCCATCTCTTCCCTCCTTTCGTCTGATCCCTTCCTCTTCGTCTGTGCATGATCGGACCTGACGCTTCTTCTCGCGTACAGCGCCAGGCTCCTTCACACCTGGCGATGGAAACAATGGATGTGTGGTATGAGTTCGAACATTGATTTGGCTATTTATTAGCATTTTAGCATCCTGCTTCATGACTTTGTACTAGGTGAGAGAAGATAGTCCCGATCAGGTCAGTCTTGTATCTGAGTCTTCCCTGCGCTAATCGGCATCGTCACGTATTTGAGGAGCACGTTGCTTAGCGAGATTCTCGTCGCACCACATCGTCCATTCAACCCTTTTCATCGCTTTGCAGATCCTCAGTTATTACGTACATCACGTATCTGTGCATGTAGCAAGGCTTGGCGAGATTCTATTCGCCTCGCATCGTCCATTCAATCTTTTCATCACATTGTCGATCCTTGGTTATTTGTGCATCGCCCATCTGGGCATGTAACAGAAAGAAGGAGAAAAGAGATTGAGAAAAGATGGAAAGGGAGATAGGAGAAAGAGAGGAGAAAGGAGAAGACAAAGAAAGGGAGGGGAGGAGAAAAGGATCGAGGAGAGATGGAAAAGGAGATAGAAGAAAGAGAGAGAAAGGAGGAGAGGAGGAGGATCATAAGAAATGGGAAGGAGAATGGAGAAGGAGAAAGGAGATGGAGGAGGAAAAATGAAGAGAGAGGAATCAGAGAGGAAGAGAGGGGATAGAGAGAGGGAAAGAAAGAAGGAGGAAGGAGATAATGATGAATTAGCATGGCCCTGCGCATTTACTTACAATCACAGGCACTGCACGAATCGAGTAATGCACGAGCCTTTTTTTGGGGCCAGGTCCCACTCACGAAAGGGACTGGATTAATCGCCTGAATATGGATGTGATTTACGCAGAGATGTAGAGATGCAGAGATGGAGATCAATCCGATTCTCTGCACCTACAAACACGTCTACATTCAGGAATTGAATCCAATCCTCTTTTCTAGTAAAATGTAGCCGATGGTAGATCCTGCCAGTAATCATATGCTCGTCTCAAAGACTAACCCCTGGTAGATCCTGCAGAATGGCAAACTGAGAAATCAGTTGTTCTCTGAGTTTTGCCGCGTGTTTGACTGATTTGCTGAGATTCCGGTATTCTGCTGAGATTTCTAAGTATGTGTGTGTGCATGATTGCTGAGTTTCGGTATGTTTGCTTGCCAGCATGAGTGCATGAGTGTGTGTGTGTGTGTGTGAGAAAGAGGGAGAGATGGAGAGGAAGAGAGAAAGAGAGAGAGAAAGAGGAGATGAGAAGAGATGGCGATGATGAAGATGATGGTGGAGATGTGAGGACACTTACCTTGTATTGGCGATGGTCTGCATGGGCGGCATCTTCAAATACTTCGGGCTGCCGCTGATGACAAACAGTTGCATTGTCTTTTTGTAGTCTGTAGTAGCTGTATAGGAGTAGGTTGGGCGCTGAGCGCCAAGAGCATGAGTGTGAAGGAGTTGGACACTTGTGTTGAAAAGAGAAAGC